CCAATTCCCCAAAAATTCAAATTTTCTTGTTGAAAAAGTTGCTGTTTTGTTTTAATAGCTTGGTGCAAATTTCTTTGTTTTCTAACCTCTACTATATTATATGTATTTCTTTTTAATACAGCTTTTTTGTTAGTTGCCTAAAGGGTGTTTGCTAGCCAGTTTTCTTGTTGTTTTTATATTTTGTTTTTCTTTGTTTTAGAATTGAGGATCAGCAAGGAGAGTTGTCCATGATTGATTATTGTTATATTATTAATATTTAATTGTTAATATTTTATATTATTATATATATTATATTAAAATAAGCCAACTCATTAACAGCAATTTCAAGTAATGAACATGTCAAAGAATTTCAATCGGGTATATTAGGTATTTATCTATTAAGCCTGGATCTGTTATTTAATTTTTAATATATAAACTATATATATTATTAAATTTTAATTTTTTAATATTTATAAAAAAAAAAACTAAAGAAAAACAACAAGAATATGAAATTAGTCAAATTTTAGCAGAATATAACAAGATGAATAATATTTTAGAAATATGCAATTGACTAGTAAAACATTCATCTATACTAAGGTAGGCATACCTATTTCCGGGGATTTTTTTTTGCTACATATAAAAATTCTTCGAATTTTCATATATATTTATAAAATTTTATATTTATGATCTACAAATAATCGACTATTTAAAAATAAAATTTATTTATATTTTACTTATATATAAAAATTCTTTTAATAATAAAGTTCGAATTTATATTATTTATAAAAAATAAGGAGGAACAAACCTATTTCCGTGGATACATAATATACGTGTTTTTTTTATTAAGTACGTTTGATAAAATTTATTAGGTAAGTATTTTCGTAATACTAAATTACAATAATATAAAACTTTTACATAAATCGGATGGTATTTTATTAATAGACTTGGCTGTTTAATTTTAAGTAAAAAAGTTATAAAAAAAATTTTTTTTTTTACAAACATTAAGACAAATAAACTAATAAAAAAAATTTTAACCAAGCTTTATAAAATTTTTATGACACATGTAATTCATTATGAAAAATATTTATTTACATTCTTTTGATAATTTATTTAATAAAAAATTATATTAATATATGATGATTAGCAATAGTACTTAATAATTAATACTTCAATTTCGCAGACAAATTAATTTTATTAAAACTTACATAAAACAAATTACTAAAGGTTATTATAAACCTATCTACCATCCAATAATACAAGATCTGATCCTATTTATTTTTAGCATTATTTTGGGCTTGCTTGTTTGTTTTATTAATAGCCCGTCGTTCCTTTCTTAATCTTGCATCTTTAGCCTTTTTTTGCTTTACATTTTCTCTGTCCTCCAATTCTTTTACAATGGATTCTGCAGTTACAAGTGTTCCGAATTTGAAGTTTTTGGGTCGGTTTTGAGGTTTTTTCTCAACTGACAATTGCTTCGAATGTGGATACTTCAAAATCGATGCTAAAGGTGCTGTTCCGGGATGTTCTAACCTTTGAACATATTCATGTAACCTTTTATTTTCATACTCAAGTTGAGTTAACTTGCTAGTCCTCGTATTATATATGTAAGTAGGTTCTGGGTTTGAAACAACAGGTTGAACGGGTTGAACAGGTTGAACAGGTTAAAAAGTTGGTAATGAAGGCATTAGGCGATCGGGATTAATAATATTGGGGTTCAAGGGCCAAATTCCAGTTGCGGCATATACATTTTTAATTGCACTAGGAGTGTAGGTTTCATAAAATGCTTCACCGAAGACTTGAGCAAATAAACACTTCGTGACTTCAAGATTATTCTTAATATGATAACGATCTGATGCCTTGTCATATTCGGCTTTGAGTTTTTTAAAGGGAATTTCAGATGGTTGAAAAATATGAGTAGTGTTAGAAGGTAAAACGTAAAGAAGAATATTTTTATCCTGACAATATTTAATACTAGTTAAATCTA